TATTGGAGGTGCAGAGCGACTGGTGGTTGATGCTGCTGTTGCCCTAAAGTCTCAAGGATGCAGTGTTCAGATTTGGACCGCCCATTATGATCCAAAACACTGCTTCTCGGAGACCCGAGACCCAGATCTTCCTGTGGTATGTTAAAACGTATCTTGGTGTCTTTGTAAAAAATAAATAAATAAAAGAAACGGTACAGCTTAGACTTACATACATTCGTCATCGGCTCGAAAATCTTAGATATTTTTTAAACTTTTAGTGATTAATTTAAGCTATTCTTTTTCCAGAGTGGGGTGACGATACAACATCAATTCGCTTTAAAAATGCATTGGTGCACAAGTTTTAATTTAATTTTAATATAGATTTTCTCCAACAAGCTGAAAATAACACATTAGGGTAAAAAGCTATGGATTCTCGTTATAGTTTGATTTTAAAATGTCTGCTTGCAAGTTAAACTTCAGTCACACTCTTTGTATCCATCAACAAGCTTTTGGAATAATTTTGGCTGCTTATTTTGCCCTTTTCTCACAATAATTGGTGGGTTTCATTAAATACACTAGGCTTTTCAGCATCAGGTATCACTTTTTTTCAATAGTGTTAGATCAGAGCCATTCCATAAGTGCAATATTCGCTTGCTTTATCTCCTCCAAAACATGTTTGGATGTGTGTTTGTGATCAGTGTCTTGTTTTAGCAGCTGATTGAGGCCATGTTTAGCTTCCTGTTTTCATAAACTCTGAACAGATTTTGTCTGAAAAACAAATATTCAAGACTTTCAATGGTCCAAATTTCTTTCATAAATGTAATTGTATTAAAGGTGTGTGCTGGCGACTGGTTACCCACCAGCGTGTTCGGCTACCTGCACGCTCTGTGTGCGTACCTCCGGATGATTTATGTGGCCTTCTACCTGGTCTTTCTGAGCGGTGTGGAGTATGATGTCATCTTTTGTGACCAGGTGAGTTTATTTAAGCCGCCAGTGTCAGATCACTGAAACTCAGAGGTTTCAGCAGTGGCGTCTTCTGTTTTGCATCGAATCCTATGGCTTAACACAAGTGTACATTTATTTACTTTTTTCTGTAGGTGTCGGTGTGTATACCGGTGCTGCGGTTGTCCCGACACAGGAAGAAAGTTCTGTTCTACTGTCACTTTCCGGACCAGCTGCTGACCCAGAGGAAGTCAGCCCTGAAGAAGCTCTACAGAGCTCCTATTGACTGGATGGAAGAACGCACCACTGGCATGGCTGACATGGTAATTAAGATTTAAAAAATTGCTTCCTTCCATAGGACTCTGATTTGAACCTCTGACAAAAACCTTTAGGATGCACTCCTGGTTAAAACCACACATTGTCTTTTTCATCTAATTGTAGCATAAAATATTATCAAGCATAGCCAAGCACAAGCCAAAAACTAAACTCAGCCCCAGAAGGTTCCAGCCGTAGTTTGTTCAGGTGATTTACTAATCGCTAAGGTGACTCCTGACATCTTGTCTCACCAACAATCATTTGTGGGAACCCCTTGAAGCTGAGAGACTGCAAACAGAGACCCCAGGATGTCTTTTAGGAGTGATGAAGTCAATGGAGTGGTCATTTATTAGAAAGCTATTGCACTGGGTTTTATTTTCAGGTATCACAGTGAAAGGGGGTGAAAATTAATGCACAAATGAAAGTCTTCAAACTTTCATTTGTAAAGACAAAAATGTATTTGTATTTTTTTTTGTTGAAATTCAAATAAAGCCATAAGGTTTGTGGATTATTTTAGTTTATTTTGAGATGATATTCATGGTAAAGCTCAGAAACCATTCAAGCCATGTAGAATGACGATAGTCCTTAAGCTGCTAACAAAGTCAAAGGAAACTCTTAGAGATGCGACATAAATAATATTTTCTTGTAATTTCTCTTTTCAGATTCTAGTGAACAGCCAGTTCACTGCAGGCGTCTTCAGGGAGACCTTCTGCAGTCTAAACCGCGTCCAGCCCGACGTCCTCTACCCGTCCCTCAACACTAACGCGTTCGATCAGATGTCCACGGAAGCACAGGGCCTGCAGGGTCTGCTTCCTGAGGGAGTGACCCACCTGTTTCTGTCTCTGAACCGATACGAGAGAAAGAAGAACCTGGGCCTCGCTCTGGAGGCTCTGGCGGTCCTGAGATGCAGCCTCACGCCCGCTCAGAGAGCGGGTGTTCACCTGGTGGTCGCCGGGGGCTACGATGACCGAGTCACCGAGAACGTCCAGCACTACAACGAGCTGACTGAACTGGCCGAGCAGCTCCACTTGCGGGACTGCGTCACCTTTATGCGCTCTCCCTCTGACTCCGTGAAGGTGGTGCTGCTGCAGACTGCCACCGCAGTGCTGTACACGCCCAGCAGAGAACACTTTGGGATCGTCCCCGTAGAGGCCATGTACTGCAGCTGCCCTGTTATCGCCGTGAACTCCGGGGGGCCCCTGGAGAGCATAGCTGACGAGGAGACGGGCTTCCTGTGCGAGCCCACGGCCGAGGCCTTCTCTAAGGCCATGGAGAGGCTTATCAGGGACGCACGCCTCCGCAGGGACATGGGACAAGCTGGGAGGAGGAGGGTGGAGGAGCGGTTCTCTCTTCAGGCCTTCTCAAACCAGCTCTATGGGTATATCGTCCAGCTGAGCAAGTGATTGGAAGGGAGGACGAAAACTGTGAAAATGTGGAGCTGAACAACTGCGGCATCTCAAAAACAAAACAAAAAAAATCTTACTGTTTTCGGTGTAGGCTCATCAAGAAATGGAAGTCAATAATTCATTAATATGGATAAAAATTACTAGTGATGGGAAAAATATTCTGGCAGGTTATTATGGGAAAATGTCCTGCTCTTCTGGCAGATTATTTCACTTATAACTAGTACTTTTTTGTCAATTTAAACAGTTATTGACTTAAAACAAGCTCTTATCTGGTGCTGGAAAGTTAATTATGAGTCAGTTTTGTCTTGTTTCAAATGTACTAAAATATTTGTACTAGAAACTAGACCAAAAACATTAATATTTTGTGTGTTTTTGTCATGTTGATGTTACTGCGCTTAACTTTTGCTTTGTTTTTAATTTCCAGGATCTTGAAGTGTTTTTTTTTGTTTTTTTACACATAAAATTATATTGAGCAAGATTCCTTTAAACTTCCAGTGGTTTTACTTAGAATATTAATTTAAAGCTTTTCCACTCATTTTAGTCCAGTTCTTGAAATCACCGTATGTGTCGTGGTCATGACTGGACAGAAAATGAGCATTAAAATGAGCCAAAGTCCAAAAAACAACAATGAAAGACCTCCAGAAAGGCTGAAGAACTATTAGTCAGTACCAGTTTGAAGGATTACAAGAATGTCTGCCTCACTGAAAACACAATATAAAGAGCGGCTGGAAACTTTTGCACAGGTCTGTATGTGAACTGAGCTGGGTGTGTATTATTAGTACTTCAAGGACAATTAATCAGCCTTCCCCATGAGAGGTTGCTGCGAGGCGCGAAAGCGATGGAATCCGTGTACCAATTAAGAAATGAGAAATTAGTTTACCTGTCCTGTTGCCGGAAAAAATACCACCTTCGTAGGTGTCTGTGTGTCTGGAACTGTGGAAAAAGTGCCGCAGCATGGCAACCGAGAGCCTGGGAAATGAGTCTCCAACGAGGATTGATTGTTGCGTGAAATGTTTTCCACTGTGTATTATTATTATTATTTTCCTCCCCCTTCTACGCACAGTTTGTTTTTGTGTCTTTTTGAAGAGGAGCAGCGCAGTCATCACCGCATGCCATCGGGCAGCGCACCATCTCAGATCGATAGGTGGATGCTTTTCTGCTGTCCGTCCACAGCTTTGTTCCCCTTCCTGTATTCAGAGGACGCTGGTCTGTTTGTGACTCCTGCGGCTGCAAGAAAGGGCTATTAGCAGATGATGGAGAGTTGGGCTTTATTAGATGGGCAGTGAGCCTGTGTCTGGGTCATTATCAATGAGGAGAATAGCAGAAGGTCATTGTGTCTCCACGATGGCCTCCTCTGGCTTCTTACTGTATAGAAATGCTCCTATTGGCATTCTTGAGGTCTTAATAAACAAGAAGACACATAGTTTCCCCCATCTCCAGAGTCCCACTTCTGCTGGTGCATTTGTTGGCCTTTAATAGACTTCTGTACGGATTTTGTGGGGGAGTAAGAAGGCACAGATACATTGTTGATGCTGTAAATAAAACATTCCAAAAAAAAAAAAAATGCCAGCAAGGAAGTTTCATTTTGCTCTTTAATCACTGCAGGACTAAACACAGGAGATCTTAACTTTGTGCTTCCATTCGCTGTTGCATTATCATTAGGAGAGTCTGAGTTGTGTCTGAATGAGCTTTGTTCTTATTTTTGAAGGGGATCTGTTGGAAGAACACAGTGAAATTAAGATGTTTTTAGTGTTTTTTTTTCTTTGCTAAAATAAATTTATTTTCCTGTGATTTTTACACAGTTCTCAAATAAAACTAAAAAGCAGTCAGAAAAAAAGGGGCATTTCTTAATCAGCAGTTGCATAACATTGAAAACATCTATTTTCTTATTAACTGTATGGAGAATCAAAAGTGCCACAATTTATGTGTTTCATTAGTTTTGTTAAAAAAAAAAGACCAATATAAAATACCAAATAATTAAATGTCATTGTTACACCTTTAATTAACTCATTAATAATTTTGCAGTATATCATAATTTATTTATTTTTTATCCTGTATTAAATGCAATGAGGTGTTCCCCACAATAATCTAGATGATTGGCATGAAGTGGACTTCCTATGCAGATTAACCAATCAGATTAGAGCAGACCGATGGACCACATTCATCATTACTTTATGGTTCACAGTAACAAATTAACCGTGATTTGACTTCAATAAGTTTAACAAATATTGCAGTTAATTATTCGGTCAAGTAATTAATTGTAATAATGATATAGTTAGGCTTTAATTTCTGGAATACATTTACTTCTAGCTTTATTTAAATTTAATCATAATATTTAATTTTGGCATATTTGACCCGTCACTCGTATTTCGTATGACCTACATTAAGTATTTTACCAACCTGGTTGCTCACAGCGTGCCCATATCGGACAAATGCGGCAAAATGCTCGCTGTTGAAGTTGAGCAGATTGTACTTGAACTCTTGATGCAGGAAAGTCTCGCAGCGACGCCAGACGGTCTCTGGTGGAGATGCAGTCAGGTTGTGTTCGTGGTTGTTGACCCTGATCTGGGATGCGCCGCCTGCTGATTCTGGTTTTCTTCAGGACCCGACCGCCTTTAGATTTCGGAGCCATCAGCTGAAGGAAGCTGCGGCAGGCTTGCTGCGTCATGTTTTCATCTGAAATTGAGACAAATATTTTTCACTAAAGCAAATTTACCATATGACGAGAGGTAAGAACAAATATATTTTTTTAAATAGTTCAAATAAAATGTGGAATTATTTCTTACCTCCCACCCAAAAGTGGATGACATAACCTTCTCCAGTATAAACACCCCAAAGAGACAATCCTAACCATGGATTCACAAACTCTATCAGGTCTCCGGTCTCTGCGGTAGACACACCCCGATCAACCTGAAAAGAAAAATAACTGAGAGAAATCACTGCTTTTCTGACACTGATATTCCACGTCACTTTTATTGTGCAACATTGTCTTTTGACTTCAAAATTACAGCCATTTTTTTCACGACTTCCTCTTAGCTCATGAAGAAAGTAACATTTTTTAAAATGTTTTGCATGTTAAAAAATATCTAACCTCTCGTGTTGTGAGTTGGGAAAAACTGCTGCTCCAGTTTCCTAAGCGGTCCATACCTGCAGGCTGGATATCATCTGGTCGACTGTTTTCCTGTGAATGGGTTGTGTATCATCTGACATGCGTTCTTTAGCACCAGATACCCTCAGTTGTAAATGCTTCAGCATGATATCGGGCCTAATAATTAACTTTTAAACAGCAATGTGTTCTATTTGTGTTTATTCTATCAGGTGGACACAAACAGCCTCAGTGTCCGGCATGTAAAAAATGTCTTTCTCTTGTAGATCTCATCGGTTTTAAGTAATTCTTTAAGTTTTCAGTCCTCACATCTTGTATTGATTCAGACGCCCCTTCATAGTCAATTTCAAAAGCTGGCAGGCGCTGAAGCCGACGGTGTGGCCACTTGTTTTCCACAGCTACAGGTATTATTTGTCCCCGTTGGTCCAATTAGTACTGCTGACTATGGTTTAATTTAAAATAAATACCAAGATCCACCATGTGGAATATTTCAGATCAATTAATTTATATGAGCCTGGCGGGTTCTGATTGCTAATGTTTTCTGTTTTAATAATCAGCTGAGGTTTATTGTAGGAAAAGCAAAATCCCACTTTCACACCCCTGATATTTGCTTTGAGGGTATTTAGACCGATGCTATCTGGCAAACAGTCAGGTAATTAGATATTATGGTAATTGAAATAATTTAAGTTATTAAGCAGTTCCTGTTAAAACAAAGCATTACATCACCAGCCTAATCAAAAATAAAATTAATATTCTGCAGGTGCTCCTTGTAAAAAAAAATGAATCAATGTAAGTATTGTGTTTGGAATCATTTTTCATTGAAAAAAAAAGTATTTAAGTTTTTAACTTTTTGTTAAGGTGATTAAAAAACAAACAAACTGGTTTTAAAAACATGCAAGAATGAAGTCCAGTTGTCTATAAGTGGGATATCAGACTCTTCCTCTGCTAGATTTTCATGACGTGCATTGTGAAATGCTCCTTTACGCTTGTATTCAGCCCCCTTTACATTGATACCCTTAAATAAATTCCACGGTCTTCAGGAATACTTCGGTATTCTGTGAGTTAATTAGTAAATATGGAAAAAGTAGCTTTGCAGTCAAACTGCAGAGCTACCGAGACATTATAATGGGTCTACACTGAGCAAGGAGGGCATGAATCGAAGAAGCAGCAAGAGGCCCACGGTTTCTCTGGAGGAGCTCCAGAGATCCAAAGCTCAGGTGGGAGATTTTGTTTACATTTAACAAATCTGGCCTTTATAAAAGAGTGGCAGCTTTCTGTTTGCCATATCAAGCACAAGGAAGAAGATTGTCTGTTCGAATAAGACCCAAACTAACCTTTTTGTCCTACATGGTGGAAAACTACGACAGCGTATGATAATAAACATCTAAACAGTATGCACAATGTTTGATGAAACCTCCTAAATTCTGTCATATCATATTTCTACTTTTACTTCTTGTCGGTCAGTGTACTTGTCTTTTTTTATGTATTTTTATTCTTTTTTTAAGAGATTATCTTAAAGGATTAATAAATGTGAATGTAACAATAACTGATTACATCTGATGAAATTATAGCGTTATTAAAGTAGTAAAACTTTGCAAAGATCTGTCTGCAAAGATGTCACATTCCAGCACTGAAAACAATAATTTTATTAGTAATTACAGAGATAGAATTGGTTCAATAAGTTTGTAGCATTCAGTACAGTTTTATACAGAAACAGGAGTACTGGTAAAGGTTCAATAAAAAAGTTAAATTGGACTTTGAGCATATTGTTGAAAGACAATGATTTGCCAGACTTTCAGGAATTGTCTCACCAATCCTTCACCAATCACCAAAAGTTTCACAACCCAACTTTTTAGGCCTCATTGGCTCATAGAAATGGAGGCCTAAGGAAAAGTGATTGGACATTCAAAAGCTGCAGGCAAGTGGTGTGGGGAGAAGAGTGGATTATTTGCATATTTATAGGTATGCATAACTCAAATGAGGGGAAGGTATGGAATCACATCCAAGACATGTCTGAGCAAGAGGGGATTACACGATATAAAAAAAAAAAAAAAAGATCTAAATCAGTTTTTTTTCCCCCTTGTTTTTAATAGTTTAATCATTGCACCAATGAGAATCTTAAATACTGGCTGATATGTAGGCTAACTTGACATTTTTACAGCACCGTTTGAATTACAGACGCTGATGTAACTTAGTGAATAAGGAGACTTTAAAATGTTTTTAAATGTAAACTAATGTTATAAAAGCAAAATGCTTATTGGTCAGGATTTAGAGTGCATGTGTGTGAGCAGAGGTATTTGTAAATCACGAGGAGAGCAGGGCTGCAGTGATTTAAGGCCCTCGTCGGTTTCTATCCGAGGGGGACCACAACAAAAAGAGGCAAACACAAACAAAACCACACAGTTTCGCCCGCTGTGTGTTTCTCTTACGAGACATGAAGTTGTGGTCTGCAGTCGCTTCCTCGCGCTTTGAAGACATGCTCTTTACATTTAAGTTGTGGACCGTCTCTCCGGCCCCTCCTCCACTCTGACTGCCCTGTGGTGAGGTGGTTATTAAGATCACGGTGCGTCTGAGTGGCAGAGATAACCGGCACCCAGGTGCCACTGGCACATGGTGTTTAATTAATTAATGAGACCGCGGGGTTGGTTTTCTAATTCCACGCAGCCAGCACCGAGGTGTGGCGGGGAGATAGCTGTGAAGAGTTTAGGTCTGGGTTTTCAGGCAAAGACGAGGTGCGTGCGTGTGCATGTGTGTGTTACGGTCGTATATCTATTTTGCTGGCAGTTTGGGAGCTGACCTCCTTGTTAGTGGAACATTAAACATGTACGGAATATTTTTACCCTGACTTTTAATCACGCCTTGTGATTGTAAGTTAATCATAGGCTAAATGCAGTTGATAATGAGAGAGGCTCCATAAGTGTTAATATATCAGCGTGAACTCCTCCTGCACCCTAACCAGGTCATGGACTGGGAGCAATGAAAACAGAGAAAAACATGCAAGACACAAGCAGAAACCAGCTGGAAAGTTAGACATTTTTCCGCTTCTTCTTTTTTTTTTATGAATCGATGGTGAAATTGTTTCATTTTATATAATAAAACAAGCACTTTTTAATCTTATGCAGTACCTTTTCTGCTTAGTCGTGTGGAAATGCTGGTTTGATGATGAACATTTGTAACTTAATGTACCTTATAATTAATTGTCATAACTTTTGGTGTAGATAACAAAGCCTACGTAGGTGTTTGTAAACTTTAAACCTTGAGTATCCTCCTTTAAATTTCTTATTTGGTTTAGAAAAAAAAAATGCAAATTACTTCAGCGTAAAATTGTTAGATGCAACTTGAGACTCTTACTAAACATAAATTATACATTTTCTATACAGATGTATTCACCAATAATCTGATTAAAATTACTATGGCAACAATTATTAGGTGTGATAACTTGGATTAAGTGTCTTACATCCTTTAAATTACTGCTGTGGCTGTTTAATTTCATCCACACTAGAAGATTTTTGACATCAAGTCACAACCTCACATTCATACTTAAAAAAATCTGTCCTGAAATACACAATGTGCATTTCAGGCACATCGTGTAAAGAAATGATTTGTCTACATTTTCCATTGCAGATTATGCTTATATGAAATGCGATTTTAGATTTTAGAGAAAAATAATCTAAAAATACATTTAAAGTAAAGACTTTGAATGACCTCAAGGAAGCTTGGAGATCTACTTATCAAGCCCTTTTTAGAGGATAACAGAAAATGTGTCAGTTTGAAAGAAACATATTTATTGATTGAATCAAATTTCTGCATATGATTTACTGTCCAGCCCATCAATAAAATAAAATAAAAAATAAAAAAACCCCACACCAGATTAAATAATAGTTACATAAAAGAAATCCTCATTTTTCTCAAAGAATCAGTATGAAGCCGCCCTGGCCTGATTTGAGCTCCAGATAATTTAGCATTTTTCTCTCAGCATCTGCAGGATCTTTACTGAGCTGCTCTACATCTGTATTCAGGGCTCATCTTTAAAATCGCTTTTACACAGTATACATATGAGGGAATTATGTATTTCAGCCTTTACTGCTTCCATAAACTACTCTCATATATTAGCTTACACACCATAAATGTTAACACGACATGAGTCTTCACTGCACATCGGCAAACAGCCTCACCAGCTGATACCACAATGGAGACGAGTGATTTATTAAAGCTTCATATAACTTCTGTCTCTGTGGGAGTTCACAGTAAAAGGACTATAATCTCTTCTAGTCAAATGTTACAGATAGATTCTATAAAACAGGCTTTACGGCCCAGGAACAGGAAGCATTATGACTTCCTCAGTCCTACGTGTTGAGGTCTGACACATCTGAAGGCAGTAAAAACAGTAGAACAAAGATTTTTAGGCACAAATCTATAAAATATTAATATCTTATTCTCCTGACAAATATTTGGGAGTGACATTATAATAAAATTCAATAAAATCACATTTTCCATCAAGTAGTTATTTTCCTCTCGTGAGCAATGACATGTTAAAAAGTGAAAGATGTCTACATAATGCCTGAAGGTGGTTTACAAGTTGTTGGGATGGATCGAGTGGCTTGGCAAAGCTGGACTTTCAGGCTAGTTTAGGTTTAATTTAAATTTAGCTTCAGCTTGTGTCTTTGTAGGCTAAATAAATACAGGAACTGGCTCACCTGAGTCACCACTTAAAGAAGAAACTCAAGAATCTAGCTTGAAGTAAGAGAAAGAAAAGCAGAGTGGCAAAAGCAGTCTAGGATTTAAAATAAAGATAATTTCTGTTAGCTATGATTTATAGAAAGAATGTCCTGTGGTGTGGTACTACTAGAAGAGTTATTTTCAATAAGCATTTCACTTAATAGTTAAAAACACTGGTGCTAAAAAAGAAAACTGGAATCAAAATAAGAATTACAAGACAGATTTTGTGACCATAAGCATACAAATGTAATTGTTCTGTAGGCAACAGGACAGTTTTTTATGCATAGAAGTGCAAACGTTTCCACCAAATTAGTTCGCTAAAAACTTATTAGGTTGTTTTATGCCATGTTTCCTAAATTTGACTCTATAAGAGTCAGGAACAAAA